AATGAACTCAAATTATTTCCTGATAAGCAATTGCATGGCTTCCTTTGGTTTTGCTTTAAGTGTAAAGAAGTCATATAATTACGTGGGCCTTAGGGCAGATAAAACATTTCATCAACTAACTTGCTAATACAGCATTAGTTTTTGTTTGTTTGTTTGTCTGTTTGTTTAGAAAGCAGGCCTTGTCTCCCATGGCTTTCTCAACTACAGTTTCCTATTCCTACGACAATTGCTCTACCATGTTTTCCCACAAAGCATAATATAATGATGGTCATCTGATAGAATTCAAGTTAATCGAATAGAGGGAAAAATATAACTGATGCCAAAAAAAATGTATAGGACTTTGTTGCAAAATTATAGGCATTGTTATAGGTTGATGGATTTACCAGAAATCAGAGCTGCAGAAAAAGGTTTAACTTTGAAAAGTAACAGGGGTGGCCGGTTAGCTCAGGTGGTTAGAGCACAGTCCTCATAACACCAAGGTTGCTGGTTCGATCCCCACACGGGCCACAGAGCTGCACCCTCCACAACTAGACTGACTGAATACAACTACTTGACTTGGAACTGATGAGTCCTGAAAAAACACAGTTTCCCAATAAAATTTCTTTAAAAAAAAAGTAACAGTTAATTTAAAATCATTATTTCTTCATGTACTTTATAAGTACTCTTTCTCACCAGTCCAGTATTACAGAGTCATAATACAAAGTCAGTGAAGTCACTTTACAAATTCTTGGAAAAGTCAGCTTAGAGTGGAGCGTAGAGGGTACCAAGGCCAACCTTGCCCAGAGTAAACAGAGACTTAAGGGTCTTTAGAGACCAGGATGGCATCTGGCCTAGATTAGGGCCTGACACAATGTGTGCTTGCTTTGTCATTCATTTTTGTCAATATTTATTGAGCACCTCATCTGTGCTCGTCAGTATTCTGGGCACTGAGGATATAGTAGGGGACAAAACAGTTCCTTCCCTCATAGAGTATACATTCTAGGAGGGGTGATAACGACAGCCTAACAAATAGTAAATATACAACACATCAGCTGGTGGGCGAAATACAACAAAACCAGGGCACAGGGAGTGGGGGAGAAGGGAGTTACTATTTTATGTAGGGTAGTCAAGGAAGGCTTCCCTGAGACCATCACATTTGAGCAGAGATCTGGTTTTGAGCAGAGGAATGACTGATCATATAGGGCTGGTTCAGAAGAAGGTAGCCCCTTCCCACTGCGCCCCACTTCCCACACGTGAGCCACATGAGAAGCTGGGCCCGGAGAGTGAGTTATCTCTTATGGAGAGACCACCTGTTGCATGGCTAAAAGTGGATGGGCTAGGCAGAGAATACAGTTTTCTGGACTTTTTCCCTTTTGTTTTTCCCCTTCAGGGATGCTTACTTTAGGTTGTGATTGTTTAGCTTTCCACCTTTCCAATGATTCACCATCTTAACTTCAAAGAAAACCATTTTCGTTTTCAGATATTTAAGATTCTTGCTATCATTTTTCTTAGTAGTTCCAGTGCAGTTTGCATTAAATAACCCTGGTACTCAGAAGTACTTAGTTTGGGGACTGAAAAAATGTTCCTAAGGAATTCAGATCAAATTACTATTTATAACGTAAGTTATGAGCCAGGAAGCGAGATTCGTATCATCATTCCATATTATAGACCAGAAGCTGAGGCCCAGAGAGGTGAAGGGACTACCTCAGGTTCACACAGCCTTTCATCGGACCAATGCGCTTTCCACGATGCCGCTCCGCCCCACTCAAAGTACAGGCTGGTGGGAGAGGACCCCACCCTGCGTGTTCGCGTCTCTGCTTCCCACGCCCTCCAAAGCAGGATGCCAACTATCTCTTTAAGAAGGAAAGTGAAGACCGGCCGCTTACGCAGCTGCCGGCGAGCCGCCGACTGGCTCGTCCCTGCCATCCACCTCACCCTCCCCTCCCCTCCTCCCGGCAGCCCCAGCCCCGGCGAGCACCCAGTTAGCCTCCTCCAGCAGGGGCTCCGGAGAGCAGCTCGGCAGCCCGGGCAGGGCGGCAGAAGCCATGGAAGCCTCCGCAGGTGATGACAGGGACCCCGGGGACCTCCGGGCCCACCGCCCAGCTGCGCCCGCCGCAGCCCAGAGTGCCAAGTTCGGGGTGCGGGGGGGGAAAGGGGGGAGGGGGGAGGCGCGGAGGCGCGCACCGAGCGCCGGCCAGGCAGCCTGCCCTCCAGGCTTTCTGGCTGCGGTGGCCCAGCTGTCAGCGGCCGTGGGCTCGGCCGGCTGCCTGGGTGTCCCCGCCCGCGTTCACCGGCACCTGTCTTTTTTCCCCACCGCCGCAGGTTGCTGATCAGGGCCAGGCAGCTGCAGCAGCGTGTGCAGAGGCGCTGCGCCAAGCCCGGCCGAAGTGGGGCGAGCCGGCGGGGCTGCGGAGGGCGAGTGGACTCAGGTGAGGAGGCCACGGCGAGCCGGGAGGGGGCCCTGCGCTGCACCGCGGCGGGTGGGGGCCGCTTGCTGCGGTAGAATCCTCAGAGGGCGCCGGCCGAGGAGGGGTTAACTGTGACTCATTCTTACCCTTCCTTCATTCCCCTACATCCTTCTAACTACACCCCCCACCTCCACCATGCAAGTCACAATCAGAGAATGCTGATTACAACGGGGAAGATGCCCAAGGGGGGGCGATTCGGAGGATTTGGGGGACCACCCCATTCCTATATGTCCTCCACTTCCTGCATTTGGCAAACATTTAAGCCTCTTTCCTGTTGGAGGAGAAGCAAGTGTACCTGGGGGTGGGAGAAGGATGGAGCCCCACACCCAACCCAAGGTCAAGTGCCAATGACTGCCTCCTTCCCTCACACTCCCTAAGAAGCACCAGGGCCCTGCAGTAGAAACTGAAAAAATGCCCATGACCTCTAGAGTTGGGAGGTCCGAGCCTCAGTCTCCCTGTAGCGTCCCTGGGATATGATGCTTTCTCCTTCCACTCCTGGGCTGCAGGGAGCTGTGTAGTTCAGAACCCCTAGCCTGAGAAAACCCATATTCCCTTCCTCAACCCTGCAGATGCGGAGGGGCCTGGTCAGACGGCCTGCTTCCTCTGCCTTCTCTGCCCATCTGGTGGTGTGGGATGGGCTGGAGTTGCTTCTCTGCAGGCAGGGTGCTGTAGGGAAAGTGCCAGAGACTGAGGTTCTAGTAGTCCTTTAGGTTGCTAGTAAGCCGTAAGTAGCCATTTTAAAATTCTTTAGGTGTGGGTGTCTGTCTGCTCATCTGTTAAACGTGGGAATTGGATTCGATGGTCTGTACAATTTTAATATGCCACCCAAGCAGCTATCCCATGTCAGGAGGACCCCTCTCTTAAAGCGACCCAGGAGTTAAACTTGAGTCTATGAGATATTTGGGGTTTCCTCAGTGGTTCTCTTTCAACTCTGGACTTCTCCAGTGAAACATTGACCTTGTGGGCCTCATGGAACTGGAGGTATCAGACAATCCTACACAGGCATCCCTGCACCATCACTGGGGTGACCTTTGTCAAGTAACTTCCCTTCCCCAAGCTGCAGTTTCCTTATCTGTAAACCTGGGAAGAAGGGTTCGTGTCTAAGAGAGCTGATGTGAGGATGGAACGAGATGTATGTGGAAAACCTAAAATCGTGCCTGCTCCTGACACACAGTAGATTCTCAGGGACGCAGGACTTGGGAGATAGGCTGGAGAAGCGAGGAGGAACAGCTGCTCTTAGCCTCCTTCTCTCTCCACTCCCCCACCCCTCCAGCCTCTCCCACATCCCTGCGGGAGGTGTCCCTGCCAGGGGCTAATGAATGCTGGAGTGTGTCGGGCTGCTGGGCTGAGGGCCTAGGAAGCAACCAGGAGGTGCAAACATTTCCACTGCAAGGGCTGTGACATCATTCTAGCAAATGATGGTCCCAAGGAGGCATACATAGCCCAGTACTGGGTTTGGAGAACCTTGGCATCTGAGGGCAGAGCCTCTAAGGGAACAGGAGCATGAGAATCTTGTGTGCTGGGAGGGTACAGGAGACAGGGGTTCCTGATTTCACAGGGATCCCCCTGCTGCTCCCTTGCCCTCCCTGGAGTCTCACTAGAATCTCCCTGAGACAAGGCAGTCACGTTTTTGGTGTCCGTATTTTTTATTCTTTGTCTTCCCTCCTGCTGTCATTTTCAGCTTCACATTCACCCTTTCTTGCTCGGGTTTATTCCACAGATGCATTCTGCCCCTTGACAGCATGATAAAGAGGCCTCCCCACAGGGTGGGGCAGGGCACTTTGCTGCTGCATCATTGGGGCCAAAAGAAGTTGTGATGTCTCCACCTGCCCTAAATCCCCATTAGATCGTGAGCGCCTCCCGGGAAGGCCCTGNGGCACAATAGACACTTGATAAATATTGACTGAAGTGGCCCTGCCAGAACTGCCACACAGATAAAAAGAGCTGTAATTAGGAGAGGGGAGAGGCTTTAGGGGACTTGCTTTCAATCTGGGAGGTAGGCCACCTTGAGCTAGATCTCTCCAGGAGGCCTGCGTTTCCCCCTCTGCCACAAGGCCTAAAAGACACAGAAAGATCATCTCGGATAATTCTTGTGTCTGAGCTTGAACCCCTGGCCTTTTAGGAGGCAAGGCTAAGTACCGATGGTTTTATCAAATGAAAAACACAGCTGATGTGCGCATGTTATGGGGGAAGAGAGGCAACTGGCAACTCAACCCTATAGAAAAGGAGTTTGGCAGCCTCTGTATACTTTTTGACGCTATAAATCTACTACTGGGGATCCCTCCTGAGGAAATACTTCTAAATAAAGAAAAATAATTATTCACAAAAAAATCTATTTTAGCATTCTTTTTGATAGGGAGAAAGTCTAAATGTTCAACAGGGGAGATGTTAGGGGTAACCATGATGGACCCATAAAATGAAATATTATGCAACCCATAAAATACTTATTATAAAGCATATTCCATATCATGGGCAATTCTTAAACCATGTAAAATTTTTTAAAGATATAAAGGTACATATATGCCATGATTACAACTATATAAAATGAACACCCTGCACCCCCCGCCCCAAAAATAAAAAGTTTTTTTCTGTGCTTAGAAAAAAAAACGAGAAGGGGCAGCAATAAAATTAATCAGTGGTTTTATCTTTGAGTAGAAAAACTGGAGGATTTTTTTTTTAAAAAAAAGGTGTGTGCTACTTCTAGAACTCTAATAAGTACTTTCATAAATATAAGTCTATTTACCATTTAAAAAAGCATCCAGTCAGAGCTAAGGGAACCCATTTTAATTCATGACCTTCTTGGGATGAATTCGTCACTTGTCCCTGGACCTTGGTTTATAAAATACAGGAAGGAAGCGAGTGCTCATTGGATAGGGTGAGCCAGACTCTTCATATACATTATCTCATTAAACCTTCACAATGAAAACCCTGTGTTTCAGATGTGGGAGCTCAAGTTCATGGTCCGTCTGCCTAAAACTAGGTTTCCAGCTGGATTCCGCCCCAGAACAAAGCCCCTGCTCTGCACGCCAAGGGGCCCCTGTGATGATGAAGAGCTCTGCCTGCTCAGGGGAACAGGCAGGTGGGAGAGATACCTGAGAGCATTGTGTCAACAGAGCCCGGGCAGGAGTTTATCTTACCGGGTGGGGGAGGGCTGTGTTTGCCAGCAGGTGGGAAGAAGCTTTTGGCTGACTACTGCCAGGGCTGGTGCTCTCTGCTCTACCTCTCCGACCTAGCAGCCTTTTCCTGCACAGGATGTCCCCCTCAGCCCAAGTCCCCTAGTCTGTGTTCCCAGCCTCCTTGTGCATCCCGGGGCCCTGGAGTCAGAGCTGCCAGCTTGAACTGAGTCCCAGCTCGACCACTGACTTGCTGTCCACCCCCGACCTCAGACCCTCTACCTATAAGATGGGATGGACTAGAGATGCTGAACTCCAAAGCTAGGCAGCTAACAAAACAGCCCAGGTGTCGGAGCAAGAGCCCTGGAAAGAACGGTGGTGAAAAGGAGCCACTTCGGAGCCTCAGCCCATATTGCCGTGCAGACGCGCAGACACAGAGCTGCCAGGCCTTTGGGGTTGTTTAAGACAAGCTAGAAATCTGGACTTACTAGAATATGAACCCTCTCAGTTTATAAATGTTAACTGAAATTAAAATATATATACATGCAGTCCAAATGAAAATGCTCTGCAGACATGATAGGGCCATGGGCCTGCCAGTTGGGGACCTCTGAGCACCTGGTGTCTTTGACCCTCTGGTTCTACAAA